CATGCTAAAAACGCAAAGGCTCAAGTGTAAACACTTGTTTGTAAACAATGACACGCTGAGCCATTTGACGCAAGCGCAGGTGACGACACCCCCGCTTTAATTACCTGTATGGCCTGACTTATGATTGGTAAATATTGAACCTTTGAGCATTGTATTTTTTCTCACTAAAATGTTGGTGATTCAATTTTCAAATTTTATGTATTTATTTTATGATTAAATTGGCAAAGTATAAATTTTTGCTAGATACAAATTCTGAATCGCTTTAAAGATCTAGACTTTTCATATATATAGAATTTTGTAACACATTTACAACTTCTATATGTATATAACAAATGTACAACTGCTAACTGTAGGCCACAGAACATGAAATATGAGTAGTTTTGATTAAAATGGAAACAACTGACTAATGTCAGGAAATGGTACAAAACATGTTTTAAAAACAAATCTGTAGAAAAAAAAGGTGCTGTGTGACACACGCTATACTGAAGGTATGGTAGTAAGAAATGTGATGTTTAGTTGAATCTTAATTATCATATACCTCATATGGCCTTGCAACACTATCATATCAGGGCTATAATTTCCTGTATCACGCCTGGCCCCAGCGCACCTGCCTTTCAATCAATCTAAACAAAACACATCATTCTAAATTACGTCGTGTGTTTGAGGTCATACCGTGGTAAAATTGTAATTACACAAATAAGGTATATGATTAAACCCTTATGGACTGGATACAGCTTTTGCTGCCTTTGGTCGTACGGCTTATACGCTCTCACAAACTTGGGTGCTCTCACCACACTACCTTGGGCTGCAAAAGCCATATCCAGTCCGTAAAGAATATTATCTTATCATCTTTTTCATTTTGAATAATTGCAGACGTCCTGGCCCTGCTCAAGGGAAAACTTCTTATGACCAATACTATCAGCAATATCACCAACAATATCAGAATTATTACCGTGCCGCATGGGATAACTACAACGAATCTAATCGTCAAAATCAGACTCAGCAACAACAAACATCTCAAGAGCGAGAACTGGCACCAGCGGGCACACACAGTTATGATAGACAAGTACATTACCAACATGACGGCAATACATGGGGGGTAAGTGTGTTATGTTTCAGCCATTGAATTCATCATATGTTTAACCATGCTTCAATGTGAGGTTACCATGGAAAAGACTCAAATTGGCATCAATTTTGAAAGACAAATAAAACACTTGTGTAGACTGACATGCTGACCACACAAGCTGATTTTGATCTGTCATGTCTCATACATACAGGCAATACATTCTTACAAAACGTGTATGCAAATTAGATAGTGTTATAAAACTGTGCTCAAAGTTTTACTGCGGGTAAAACTTGGTTTACCTGATCAAAAAATATTTGTTTATGCCGATAATCAACTTAAATCTATGAACTAAACTGTTTGGCTATTTGCAAGAAATTTGTGAATTACAATCAAAAGCTTCAAAGTAAATTTGTCAACAATGCAATTTTCAAAGTATCGGGGGTAATACTGCATGCAATATTGTCTACTGAGAGACTGACACTTATGGGTAGGATGCTATTTTTATTCTATTTTCATGTTCCCCTACCTCTACACATTTCAAATTCACATTGATGTTAAATACTCTTTTTGTTCTTGTTTCCATAGTATTACAGAGAGGAGGATGTGGAAGGTGAGATTATATTCATGTTGTCTACTTGGAACAAGATTTGTTTTGATGTGGGTCATTCACTCAACATTGCATGTTTTTTTTTTTAAAGTGGTAGTTGATGAGTTATTGTCATCAGTGGTTGACCATTAGGAAGCCTGGGGTCGATTTGTAAAAAATAAAAAAATCTGTGCAAGATCTTGAAAATTTTACACTAAAAACTCTCACACGGTTTTAAATTGCAATTCCTTAATCAGAAAGAAATGTGATCTCAGTCAAAATTACATATTTTATGAGATTTAAGTGAGTTCGTGATTGAACTATAAGGAAGCTATTTGTAATGTCTATTTTAAATCAAGCTGTTATCAAAATCTTTCTAATTTTTGTACAAACTTGATAGACGACTTCTTTATCAGGTGGACAACTATCATCTAAAACTTAGTTGTCCCACTAGACAACCAGTTAATTGTAACATTTCAAGTGCTATGAATGGATTATGTTATCTCTTAACAAGAGTTTGACTTGCACAGTTTGTACATCAAAATTACTTGTACTCGTAATTAGTTTGCAGATATATTTATTTTTTGTGTACATGCAGTTATAGTAATGGTTATAAATCCTTTGATTTGCAGACCCTGAAATAACTGTAGATGTTGAGAAAGCCAATGCTGAATTCATAGTTAAAAATGATGAACTTTTTGAAGCGGTGGAAGGTTCAAGATGGCAGCCATTGGATACAGTCACACCGGATGCACTCAGTCTAATGGTGATTTCATGACTTATGTACAAATAACAGATCAAATACATTTCTGTTGAATATTCTTTACAAATATCATTTCCGTAAATGATTTTCCCAGATTTTTTTCTCTACATATGTTTGTCAGTGTGCCTTTACGAATACACAGCCATCATTTCATTTGATTTTCCTATAGACATGTATGTACAATTTTTCTAATCGTTTTCAGTGCATGGTATTTTCTGTCCAAATAATTACCATATATCTGTAGCTCACAATCAATCTTGCAATCTACTAATATATGTGTCTTTAGAACATTTAGAATATACGAATTCTTATTAAAAAAAACCTGTTGACACATTACTCTTTTTTTCAATCCCTGAATTTTATTGTAAACTACAAAAAACAAAATATTCTTAAGAAATTCGTTTGCAACCAGCTTTTCTATTGGTTTGTCAGTGACCTTCCCCCTACTTTCCCCCTCCTAATATGGTAATGATGTATTCCTTATATGGTATTTAGAAGAGAGTAGCTTGTTCAGTTTTGCAGGTTGCTGTATCTAGTTTTGATGTCAATACTGGTCCACTGTCTTAAGTCCAGTCGTTGGTTGTCTAACATTTTTGAGGGACCACCAAAATTATAGATTTATGGTTTTTTTGGTCAGTGTCGAACCATGTTTATCAATTCTTACCTGTCACCTGTTGTATAGCAGATTTAAATATTTATATAGCTGATTCATCAACTCAAATTTGCTGGTTGCTGTGGTGCGTATTTTTTTCTTCTTTTAAGCTAGATCCACCTATCCATTTGTGGGTAATTGTAAGGTTCAAACCTATGAGAAAGTCTGAAATTGTCTTTCGGGTCAAGTTTGGGTTTTACACAAAGACGTTTAGAATTTTTGGAAATTTTTGTTCTGTGTTTACTATAATTCTTTTTATTTGTTTTAGAACTCTACCCAATTGGACATGTTTGATGATGAGTAGTTAAATATGCAAAATATGCTGTGTTTGTTGAGAGTAGCGTGTACTGGTGACGTAACTAAAAGAAAGATCTGATATATGCAGTTATTTTAGGCCACATTATTATTACTTTTTCATTTGTTTATGCCATATATGGACTTTTTAGACAATATTTTCTCAGTTCAATTGGTTTGTAAGTATAACTGGTATTAAAGAGATTGATAGAATAACATGTGTTTAATGTACTTGTATCAAATTGTTGCAAGTTGGAAATAAGTTACGGTAGATATCATTCACAGACTTGAAGTTGCATATGGAGGGTTAATTATTCACTGGGTTTTAATTTTGCTTATTTCGCTGACTTAAAAAAAGGAGCCAAATTGAAACCCAGTGAATATGTAAAATTCAGCATAGAACACATTATCTAAATGATAAAACCTTGAATTTAAAACCAACTGAATATGCCTGAATTGCTAAATCAGCGAAATTTAAACCCAGTGAAAATTAGTAATTTTTCTGACAGAAACCAAAAGCTCACTTTCGTCTGATCATTAAGCTAGCCAGATCGATAGCCTGCCTGGCTAAACTTTCTTATCACCGAAAGAAAGATTTATTCCTGTTCATCCTTGTACATAGTATTGTTAGATATATCTAACTTAGACGAGAGGTGGGTTATTCCACCAATGATCCAGTCTATACCCAGACTTTTTATAATTGATTCACCCCTACTGTTGCATGGCTTTGCCAAGCATGATGGGTAAAACTTATTTGAAACTAGTTCTGAAACTTTACGACTTTGTCACAAGCTAAAATGTTCATAAAATAGTCTTCCATCTTTGTTTTTAGTTGTGGACAGTATTACTGTCCATTTAATTGGAAGTCATTAGAATAAATGTATTGATTATTTCTGGTGTGCTGTTAGTGTTCATATCAAAATGACTGCCTGTATTGGAACATATGATGGTCAGGATGAAATCCTGTCTTGCTAATGCTTTGTGCACCTTTTTCTTGATCAGTGGGCCCCTGACGCGCAGCAGAGGTCGATGCGACAGTGTACTGTCAGAGTGCATACTTTGAGGTACCCTTGTAATAACCTTATTATAAACCTTTTCCTTCCAAGGATACATCATTGGAATGCCGATATTTAAAAATGGGTCATTTTATGAGCTGCAATACCCTGGGCTCGAACCAACTATGACAATAGACAACCCACGATGGGGCTGCAGAAAAAAAAACTAAAACTTGCCAAACTCAGTATTAGTTTGTTAAAGCATAGACCCTCCAGTAGAGGAGATATTACCGACCTACTCGGGGTTGAGGCTCTAGTAAACAGACCTTGGATGTTACGCTAACTTGTTAGCGTCCTTGTAGTAATCAATTAACTATTAGAAAAAATAATATTTGGTGAGACAAATAATGTATTCAAATGAAACCACATAC